GTATGATGGGACAGGCATGAGACCACGCAGATGTTGACCTCTTTGTCAGGGTGTCCACGCTTGAAAAGAAGATCGTTAGCTTTATCTCAGAATCGTGGTTTTGCTTCGGACCAAAAAGGTTTATTCACTTATTCATACAGTCCGTATATGACGTAACTTGTTTGCTTTTTTTCTGTCCTGGATGGATTTCCATTTCGTTACAGACCCTGCAATGATTGTGAAAGCAGTGTATCCTACCTGCAATCTACAATATGGCCTTTCCTGGATGGTCCGGGCAGCCTCCCTGCAATTTTTTCATGCAGTCGCCGCTCACAGTCTCTGTGATCTTTGCTTCGGGGCTTGTTGTTCATGGAGTAACTTATCCCACGCTTCCAGGGCTACCTTGCAAAGTAAGCTGGTTTGTTTTCTTGTATTTTTGACACTGGTTCGTGTGCTTGCTTGCCTTCTCAGTGTCTTCCTCAGTGGCAGGAGCGGTGTAGAAGCGCTTTGCGATAGCAAGCCTTTTGTTCACATCGACATGCGGGAGGTTTGCGCACCGGGATGTGAAGCCTGAGAACTTCCTCTTCCATGATCCTTCTCCAGAGTCTCAGCTCAAGGCTCTGTGCTGCGGCTGCCATAGGAGAAGATGTACGGTATATGGTCGACGGCATTGCTAGTCTGATGACCCTGAAGGTGGGAGTGTTATCAAGGAATTTACGTCGGATATAGGGCATAATGAAGTTGCGGTGTCACAAGAAGCCTCCATGCTACCAGACGAGATTTCGTCACGGTTCCCCCTTGCATTCTTCTCATCTGCAGCTTGTGGCCTTTTTTCCTCTGTTGAGAGCCTGGCGATCTGCCAAGTGCCAAGCTTGGAAGTTCTACATTGTCTTCAGATTCAGTCCAAAGTGTGTAAGCGTTCGCGCGTTCGTTGTCAGATCATCGACTTCGGCTTGGCCTGCCAGTTTGAGCCCGGAGTGAAGATGAGCACCAAGGTGGCAAGCACGAGTATCCTCGGGGCAGACATGCACAGCAGCAAGCATTGCCATTAATCCTATACAAAACTAAGCTTGCAGACAGGCCGGGACGGCTTATTATGTGGCTCCGGAGGCACGGCTGCACTTTTGGAAAGGGCAGCCCATTCGCACATAGGAGACTTAGGAATTTCCCTGTGTGACATCGGTGCTGAGAGGTCCTGAAAGGAGGTTACGATGAAAAATGCCTTTGCCTCAGCGGAGTTGCGTTGAAGTCTTGCTGCGCATAGCGCATCGGTATCACGTGCTTGCCAACTCAAATTGCAGGTGTTACTGTACAAAGAAGCTCGCAGTCTGGCAGCACCCCGCTAAAGTGCATTCACAATCTTAGCAACATACGCTCGTTGCAAATGCAGCTGTCGCATCGAACAAAACCAACAAAAAACAGGGTTTGGACATGCGTGCAGGGACCCGCAGGCTGTGTGCCAAATCCAGGATGCCATGCTTCACGGATTGGATCCGCTTCTTGAGAATGCCCAGCCTAGACTGGAAGCGGCTTGAACTTGAAAGTCAATCTTCATGGGACAGATCAAGCTGCAGCATCCTTGAAGCATACTCTCCAGCATTTGTCACCGTGGAGGCGATGTTTGGAGCGCTGGGGTCACGTACTCAGAGGAGAAAGGCCACAGATTTGGAAACTTTCTCAGCCCCTGAAGAGCTTAGCTGCAGATATTGATTTGCTATCATCAGGTCATCTCCTTTGTGTTGCTCTGCGGCTTCCCACCATTCTCAGGCAGGTGGTTTCCAGTGACTTTCGGTGCTCGAGCAGCTGTCAGGCTCTGGTAGTGACACATTGACCAAGAAGCACACGGCTTGCATCAAGCCACGCATGCAGATATGTGTGCATCCTTCTTGCCAGGTGACAAAGACCCTGAGATCCTGAAGAAGGCTGACCAGCCAGCAGCCATCATATGTCTTCTCCCTTTGGTTGCGGACATGTCAGGTCAAGACGGGAACCTTTGAATTTCGCTCGCCTGAGTGGGACCCGATTTCCCAAGGCCGGTAGTGCGAGGACGGATCAGGGAGCTTGTTCAGGATCAGGAACAATATAGTTGGTAGTTAAGCTTGAGTTGGAAAGCACTGGGTATCAGTTACATGTGATGATTTGCAGCGAGCAAAGCTTACTGCTTACATTGATGAACGGTTGATACGGTTGTATGTTTGATGTTAGAGATTAGACATTTCCGTTCTGCCATGGACATTATGTAGAACTGTTGCATGTAAGGGTGCTCAATGAAGAGGTTGACCCCGAGTCAGGCTCAAGGTAGTTGAGCACGAATTCTAATTTGTTGCTTCGCGTGGCAATGGATGAAGTCACAGCTGGTAAGCGCTGCAAGGAGAGGTCTGAGTGGGCGCAGCATCTAAATGTGCTGCGGCAGCTCTTTCTGTCAGTGTCAATCACGAAACGCTCCTTTTTCGTCTCCATCGACGCCTGTTCCAGAGAGCACAGGTGGCAGAGGGCGGCTTCTCTAACGCAGGAAGCCAGGCGGCAGACCTTGGAAACAACACTTGTCCAATACAACACCACAATTAATGCATGTGCCAAACATGCAAAACGTAATGCTTGGAAACAAGGCATTTCCTTGTTTCGAGACCTTGCCGCTAGTGGCCTGCAACCCAAAGGTGTTACCTTCAGTGCCACCACATCAGGTTTTGCTAAGGGCAGTCAGTGGCGGTTGGCATGCTGTGCGCTTGAGGTTCTTTGTGATGCGTCCGGTGCACGCATCAACCCTTTCATGCACAGTGCAGCGCAAAGTGCATGTGTAAACGAAGCCCAGTGGCTGGAAGCGGTGCGGATGTTGGCTGAGGCTTACTGCAAGGAACTTGAACCCAGTATTGTCCCGTGCAACTTGACCATGAGTGCATGCCAGAAGAGCAGTCAATGGGAATTCGTCTGCAAGCGCATGGACCTCTTGGTAGGCGGTCGCCTTGCGACTTGTGCCAATGCCTTCACCTGCAGTGTTGCTATCAGTGCGTGCTCAGATGGACAGCAGTGGCAGCTGGCATTGGCCTTCCTGGTAGAAGCTGAAAGTAATACAATTCAGCTGGACATGGTTGCGTGCAATTCAGCGATCAGCGCCTGCGAGAAGGGCCAGCAGTGGCAGCTGGCGCTCCTGTTGCTGTACACTTGTTTGGCCAGAAACATGCAGTCGACGATTGTTTCGTTTAATGCTGCAATCAGTGCTTGCGAGAAGGCCAAAGAATGGCAGCTTGCCTTGTCACTCCTACTCGAGGGACTGGTGAGGTCCTTGGAGCCTACCATCGTATCCTACAACGCTGCAATGAGCGCTTGTGAAAAGGGAGGACAATGGCAGCTAGTCTTGGCTATGCTTAAGCAGCTGGTTTCCAGCAAGACGCAAGTGAGCACGATCAGCTTGAACGTTGCCATCAGTGCATGTGACAAGGGAGACCAGTGGCAATCGGCGGTGTTATTATTGGGCCAGTTTGAGGAGCAGACCTTGGAAGCTGATGTCGTTTCCTTCAACGCGGCGATCAGTGCTTGTGCCAGGGCTGGGGCCTGGCAGCAGGCTTTAAGACTGCTGGATTCCGCGAGCCGCAACGTTGACACCACCATTATTACTTACAACTCTTTTTTGAGTGCCCTGGAGAAGGGTCAACAGTGGCAAAGGGCATTGGGACTCTGGGCCAGTTTCTCAACATTACGGGTCGAGGCAGATGTGATCTCCTACAATTCCTTGATCAGTGCCTGTGAGAAGGACAGATCTTGGCAAAGGTCGTTTTCATTGATGGGTGAAATGAAGGCCATCAGCATGGAATTAACTCCCATAACCTACGGCGCCGCTACGAGTGCATGTGTGCGAGGCGAGCAGGCACAAGCAGAGCAGCGGCATGCTCAGAATAAGGCCGCGAGGTTTGAGGTCACGACAATTCGACAAAAAGGGACCGTCGAAGCATTGACTGCTGTGCGAGAGGGTCTCTTGAAAACGCATGCTTGCATCGTGTCTCCGTTTAGAAGCTGACGAAGAAAGACTGCATGGCACCCGTGAAAGGGCCCCACGAAGAATCCTAGACAGGTTCATCAGAATCAGCATCGTAAGAAGAGTTTACTTTGGGTCTCTGCCTTCCCAAGACATTCAAACCTGGATGTTGGGACTCTGGCTGCGAGACATGACCCGGCTCACAGAAGCCTCAAGCACAAGACAGCACTGGCAGCCAGGGGCAAAGAACCTCATCACACAGATGCTGACCTTCGATCCCGCAATTCGGCCGACTGCCGAAGTGCAAAGCTTAGAGCTTCGTCAGCAGCAGGTCCTTCAAGATATTTGTTGGTGTCAGATGTCGTGAAGTGAATGCAAACAGAGCCACTGCTTCCTCGTCTAGTGCCACAGTCACAGAAACTGATTGTCAAAGAGAGTAATTACTTGACAGGTCGTGCTGCTGAGCCCATGGCTGAAGTTCAAGGCGGGGCAGAATACCTGTGGCAACCGTGTTGCATCATTTGGGCAGAGTCCCCCCCCCCTCCTGAGACTTCATTCAGGCCTCAACATGTGTCCGAATGTTGCCAGGACATCAACATGATGAGAAGGACAAACCTTAATTCCCAAAACACCGCTTAAACTCCATAGCAAGAAAAGAGTGACTTGAGTATGGAGATGAGAACAGGGCAGCCCCGTGTACGGACAGTGTAAAGCTTTGATCCGTGAGGGCACGCCAAAGCCGGCGCCTCTAAGCAAAGACTTCGTCACGAGGCCACCTGGCCTCTTCGTTGATGCTAGCACGGAGTACTCAAAGTAAGCTCTAGTTCGTTATGCAATTTAGAAGGCCTGGAAGGTCTGTTGTAATTCTCAGCATGGAGGCAGGCGTGATGAGTGATGGCCGCAATGACGGCATGCCAGGCTTTCAGGTTTCCGCGCCTTCTCAAAGCTGAAGAAGGCTGGGGGCATCAGTGACCCCCAGGAAGAAGAGCTGTTGTAGGTTTCGTGGCAGGCTGGTTCTTCTTAGCTGGTTTCAAGTCAACCTGCAAGTGGATCTGTTTTGTGGTTGACCAGGTTGCTCTCACGGCGCTGGCTCAACAGCTGCCAGACGTGACTTGGCTGCATGATGCTGTCATTGCTCTTTGGCACGCATTTTGTTTGGGCATCAAGCCTTTGACATCTGAGACTTCTTGCCACTTGGAACCAAAGCTGCAGCTGGACCAAGGAAAAGATCGACTTGCTCCAAAAGACTTTCAGGTCCCTGGACAAGCCGGGTTCTTGGATGCAGAACGCAAATTGGACTTGACCACTCCTCTCCTTTGAAGGAATGGCGACGGCACGCTGTCGGTGGAAGAGATCCGGGCCGCAAGCCTACTTTGCACAGTCTTGTAGGGGTGTCCACCAGAGACCAAACCGAAAAAGGCAGGCTCACAACCGATGAGAAATACAAACACTATAGAAGAAAACCCGAATCAACGAATGTCTGCAATCCTGACACCCAGAAATTTCGTAAAAACCTTGTACAAAAGCCTTAATAGCCAAGGGCCTAAGCCTAATCTATGCGGATTATGCGGCAGTCAGTAGCTCCCTAGCACTACTAAGATAACAAAGTGGCGAGGTCCTTGGTAAAAGCTTTTCCCGTGATTTTCACGATGAGAACCTCAGAATATGGTACTGGTGGTGGGGTTTACTCTGAGTCCTACCTATTTCCCGGTAATATAACAGAGTGGGGGATGCAACATGAAATAGGTACTAAGGACAGAAGATGAGTAAGATAAGTAGGACTTATTTAAAGTTGCTGAGTTTTTGTGTATTTGCCGTTTACTGTATCACCTGGATATAGTGAAGTGGCTGAAGTAGAAAAATGTGGTTTTGAGTTGTGCTACGTGACATTTGTGCATTGACACAGATTTCGCAGTGCAACTTTGAATAGATTCGATCTACCAGAACAACTATGGACAGGATACAGCCTTCAGGGTCCATTGTTGATACCCATTATGGTAGTTTCCATTTTGTTTTCCATCATCCCCTACATAACCCCAATATAACCCTGATATTACCCCAATGGGTACTGGTAACCCCAAGAAAAATCCTACACCCTAAGCCCTAATGCATTTTCCAGGTTGTCCGTGAGGTGGGGTGGATATTAGGGTTATATAGGGTTACATTAAATATGGGGGTATATAGGGGTATATGGGGGTAATATAGGAGATATAGGGGATAAAAAGGATTATGGACAAGAAAATGAAAACTATTATTTAGGGTTTCGGGAGGGTGTAACTGAAGCTGAACCATGCGAAGGTCTTGCAGTCGAAAATTACATTTGTTGGATTTTCCGGTTTAGGGTTCCAGGGCCGAGGTTCTAGAATTCTTGGGCTTAGGATGTAGAATTCTAGGGTTTAGGATTCAGGATTCCAGTTTGGGGTTTAGGTTTATCGGCTTCGGACTAATATTGCGGACTCTAAACGCCAGGATCCTAAACGCTAAAATCCTAAACCCTCAACCCTAGAATCCCCAAACCCTGGCATCTTAAACCACCCCGACAAAAAACTCTAGAATCCTGAGCCCTAACTCTCGAATCAAAGCCTTGACTGCTAGAATCCTACACCCGAAGGGGGGGGGGGGTTGCCCCCAGCATTGTGATACTCCGGTGCCGGGCGGAGTGTGAATGACTTAGGAGTCTAGAGCTTAGGATTTGGGATTCTAGGCTTGAAGGTTTAGGATTCTAGGGTTTCGGGTTTAAGATACTAGCGTTTTGGGATTATAGGATTTAGGATTCTAGGTTTTGGGGTTTAAGACATTATTTTAGATCCACCCAAATCCTAAACCCTAAGCTCTGGAATCCTAAAGCCTAAAAATTAGAATCCTATCAAGGTCCTGACCATGCAAGAGATCATGTTGTGGGACCCCAATGCCGGGGGTTGCCCCCAGCATTGTGTTACCCCGGTGAAGGTAGGATTCTAGGAGTCAAGGTTTAGGATTCTAGGCATTAAGGTTTAGGATTCTGGCTGAGGTTTAGGATTTGTTTTTTTACTTTTCATAGGTATGACCCATGGTATGACAGTAGCATATTCGCCAAACACATCAGTCAACTGGTCGGCCTAGCCCCAAACCCCGAGCGATCATAATAGATATCATCAATGATTTTTCGGTTGTTCGAAGCCATGTCAATAACAATACATTATTTTGTTGTTATTGAGTGAGCGTCGCAATTATGATGCAAGCGACAAACAACAATTATCCACCGTATTGGATACAGCTTTACCTATCCTTTGTGCGGTAAAATTATGACACAACTTGCCTTCATAAGTCTCTGTTTCAAATCCCTTCCCGCATTTGTGGCAGTTTGCCTTTCGTTCTTGTCAAGATATCTTTCGACAGCAACATGCAAATCATTGTTAATTTGCCTACCCGCTTTCGAATCCTGTTGCCCAGATATTTTTGCTTTATTTGCCATCTGAATAATTCATTGTCCTCTTCTTTTCCATTGCCTATTCAAAAAAAAGATTTGCTCTTCCTCAAATCATCAGCTCTTGCAATTGCTGTCTATAGCCACTCACGGAACACCAGCTGGGACAACTCCCACAGCTGAATTGTAATGGTTGTCCTTGTTTTAGCCCCTTGGGTGCTGTGGCAAGTAGAACGTAATCATACGTAAAATGCTTATGAACTCTCTCCCTATCCGTCTTGATTTATCACCGCTTTTAGCTCTTTAAATCATATTTCTAGTTTGACGATACCTGAGATTCACATTAAAAAATATCTGCTTTCCCATTTTCGTATGTAAACTACATGCTAGAACCTCACGTCATCCACAATTGCCAGTTTTACTTCGCCGCCTCCCTGGACACACTCATACTCGTGTTATTTGCATGTGCCATGTTGTAGTAGGATGTCATCAAATCATCCTCCATGTCAATTTTTTCTGAATCAACTCTTCCAAGGGCAACTTGTTAACAAAACAACATCGGCATACATATCATTCACTATTTGACTTTGATAATCTCCTTGAACCCGCGTCGATATTTCTAGAAGGATGTTGTGCTTAAACATCATATCCAAATACTGATTAGCATGTACTTCTTTACTTTGGCAATTGCTTATATCCTCTATAGGTTGCAGTTGTTTTGTATTACCCGTCGCTAGCACAATCTCGTTGCAATCATCCAAGCAAGCAGCCCTACTTGTTCAACATATACACAGATGCCATGTACACTTCATCAAGCACGAATACATTTTAAGGGTTATGGTCGTACTGAAGCAGTTCGCAGCCTTTTTCAATCCGCACATTGAAAAGTTTGCTCAAAGTAATTGCCTCCTTCTCCTTCTCCTGTTACAAGCTGTTAGTCGCCGCCACAAAAGGCACATCATAGCCAGGTTTGTTAACATACTCCCCTATGTAACTCTTCCCGTTCCTTGTACGATTCCTCTAATCAAGCAATTGCCCCTGCAATCTATAATCTGTTGGCAGATGGTTCTTATCTTCTATGTTAGGTCTCTCATTTGTAGGTTGGATCATGAACCAACTCATTACATATTAGTTTGTATTCGTCGATCGGTAGTCTTCCCCGCTTGCATTTTTCCAGTCTCCGTCCCCCGACTTTGTTCTTCAACTCCGTGTAGTTTTGGCGTTCCCGTGTCATTATCTTTTTTATGGTCAGTGCGTCGGTTTTCGAACTGTACGCTTCCATGCCATTCCCCTTCATAGTCTCTTATGTTTCATGCACTCCTTAATTCTGGTCCTGTAGTAGCAACTTTTTTATATAGCAAAAGCCGTCGCTTAAACAGCTCTCGTTAGACACATTCAGGACAAAGTATGAAGTCTCCTCAGTGTCGGCATTCTCCTGTAAATGTATAATGCCATTTATCACCACAGGCTGCTCACAGCTGCAATCCGTGAACGTCACCCATCCATAATCTAAATCTCACTCTTTAACTTGCTTTCTCATTTGTTCGATTAATGCTGTATATGTGCTGTATTTCTTTGTTCCATTGTTGGCATAAACCCTACCACCATAAGTCGCATGATAATGGCATGCCTCGGTCGCTACATCGAACGTCTTACTTTTTTCTTTTGTTGCGGGATTTTCAAGTAGCCCGGAATTGATGTTGGCAATGGTCTCTTCGATCCCTCTGTCTTCTTGTTCATCCGTGCTTATCTGCCCTGCCCATTTTCACTTTAGGGATATGCGGCGGTTGCTTGTAATACAAGATACTACATGCAACACCTCTCAAAATCTGAGCCAGATAATGCTTCTTATCAAACATAATATTAGCATCCTGAACTTCCACCGTGTCCAAAGTGACATTGGGCATGTCAGGGTTTTGTCTTGATACTGTCGGATGACATGATCGTTCTACATTAGTTCTTAAGCATTACTTCTTCTAATGACACCACAGCATCCTCCTCAGTATTGTTTTCTGCATAAATTTAGTGGCCGAATAGTATAATGTATTTATTTAGCTTTTAATCTTCCATTTGATTTCAAGCTTGGATATGGTCCTTGCTTGACATTCAACTAGAGGCTCAAATCCCCTCTGCTTGAAGCCGTGTAGCAGTTTTGGTAGGCCGTCGCCTCTATGTAGCCGTATGTATTCTTCTTCATCCCTTAGATGTAGCAAGTCCTGTATACTGTCCATCTGTTCCTTCTCCATGATGTAAAACTTGTCGGACGCGGAATCCGAAACTTCTTATGTTCTACATCCCATACCGTTTCAATTTTTTAGTTCTTAAGATCGTGGTTTAACTCATAAGTGTGCTTGTTCTTGACCAACCCATTACATGTTTTAATCCTGTGACACTGTGTTGGTGGGTCATACTTTTCAATTCGATTACAATTGAAACCCACATCCGTGTTGGAATACCATACGCTTTAAAAACTCCCTCCATCTTCTGTATAGAAGCGCAATTGTAAATAAACCAGTCCTCTGACAAACCCACTACATCTACAACCTTTTCCCTTGTCAGGTGCGTCATTTTATGTCTTCTGTTTTTTTTCATTATCGAATTTTCAGTCTGCAAAATGATTGCCATATAGCCACTCAGCGCTGTCGGAAAATCAACCTGTATCTTTGTAGCATCAACATCATATTCGTCGGTCTTGATATTCTTGTTGAACATGCCAGTTATAAAAATAGGTCATCATCATTAGCATCAGTTCGTTGTTTCTCGGTTTATGGATTCGTCTTTGCTGACTTCAGTTTTCTGTCATTAACAAAGCAAAAAATGAAACTTATATCATGTAAGAATTCTGCTAGCGTTGTTCATATTCTTCGATTTCAAAATTCAGGAGTTTTACCCCATAAGACCTTTTAATGGTACATTTGGCCGCCGCCTCTGTGGCCACTGTTTTTGCTACTTCTCCTGCTCCTTTTGCTACTCTGTATGATAAAGCTTGACCTCTACCTGTTCCCTTATTCTATGCTTCGAAATTTCGGTAATTTTTGATTATGTTAATCTTACGTAGGTGGCGTATGTGGGGTTAGTATCCCGTCCAGTATTATCTGCTGTATCTCTAATTAGATCCTCCAAATTAAATACTCCTTTTGCGTTCTTTTCTTTTCTTTACCCTTAGTTTGCAACTCTTTCACTTCGGGTTGAACTGGGACCTGACCCTTGCTAGCTCTATGATGCGTCACGAAGTTGATCTCACCCAGGAAGCCATCGTGCAGCAGGGCTTGAAGCCTCCAAAAGCTTTGGAGGATGGCAGATGTACGCTGCCGTGTGCTGGTTGCTAGCTTCATTTTGCACAAGCCTATGCTGGCGAATGTGATTGACTAGTGCAATGCGCACGGCTCCAAGCAACACCCTGACAAAATGTGCTTGGAATCTGCCAGGATATCCTGCAAGCTATCGACTGTAATGGCATGTGGCCAAGTTGGCACGACCAGCAGCCAAACGGTCATTTGTCAAGTGGAGCCGCAGCAAGGTTCTGGCAGCTTGGATTACACGGAGTTTCTTGCCGCAACCCTCGATCAGAAAGTATATATGCAGCGGGACCTCACGTGAGCCTGCGAAACGGTTGCAGCAGGGATGAGCTCAACTGCAGTCCTCCAGTGCATTCCAGCAACGGCAGGATGTTTGTTGGGCAGCTTTTCGGATATTTGATCTGGACGGTGATGGGAAGATTACGCGAGAGGACCTGCAAGCTGTGCGCAGTCACCTCCTGGGCGTTACCCAAAAGTGCTGTGTGTGGGTGTTTGCATGTCGTTTCATGAAGATGTTGTTGTGTCCAACTGGTGACTCCACATGTATTGCGAAAGTCGTACAGACGCCTGCCTTGCAAGAAGCTGTGTTGACAGGAGTTGGGCAAGGTGTGCAGCTCAGATTTTGCGGCTCAGTGTTTGAACTTTAAAAGATATCAATGAAGTGTCTGAAGACGTTAAAAACACCCTGCTCTGTACATGCTGAGGTGCTGAACGGCAATTCTGTGCAAGAGCTCTTTGGCGCCAGTTGCGACCTTAGTAGAGGTTTATTGAGATAGATCGGAAACCAGATCAGCGTGTTGCAGTGGCTAGGCCTTATGTGATCTGCTGTAGTGATAGAGTAGCAGTGCTTTTCAGCGGTTTTCGACCGGATATGAGATACGTCAGGGTGGACCATTGGACAGACAAATAGGGGCACGAAAATGCGGGCAAGTAAGGATCAAAACAAGGAACGAGCGGACACTAGTTTTAGGTTTGGCTTTGTCAGGACCGGATTTTGCAAATTTTCAAAAGGCAACTCAACATGGTGGCCAAATTTGTGCATCCTTGTCTCCAATGGGGGCCTGCAATTTACCATGTGCAAGTTCAAACATGCCAAACAGCCGTTGTGAGCAGTCAAGTGTCTCTCTCTCGTGCTCTGCCCCAGAACGCGGTACTGAACTCAAGAGCAAGGAACGTCAATCACTGAAGACAACGCAGCTTTGTCTCTTTTAGAGTTGTCCGCAAATAGGACATCAACAGCTCAGGCGCAATACCATTCAGGGTGTGAAATGAATAAGCTCTTGCAATCTGCTTGTGATGGTGAGAGAGCATGTTCTAGACATCCCTATCTATAGTAGCAGTGGAAGCAGGCAATGCAACCAATCCAGGAAAAGGCAAAGGCAGAAATCAAGCGCCAGATCAGGATGTATCATTAAAACAGTGCAGCCATTTTCTACTCTGGAGTTCGTCGTCAAAGCTGCCAGGAAAAATCGAGAAGATGATCGAAGAGGTCGACAAGGCGATCTCTCAATAACTTGGCAGTGTTTCATGCCATCTAGTTGCATCAACAAAAGGATGGTGACGGGGCAGTGGATTTCGAGGCCTGCTTGCCTCAAACTGCTTGGCTGTCTGCGCTCGACAGCCTTGCCCAGGAGTTCTGTGCGATGATGTCGACCAAGGCAGGTGAGTTGATACCTTGCTCAGCCTTGCTCCTGTGGTCCAGAGATCTGACCCCATCTCTGAAAGTCGTGTGACGAAGGCCTCGCGCCCGAAACCTGCGGCAGAAGCTCCAGCCAAGCGGCAGCGTGTCTCTGCGTAGATGGCGAATGGCGCCTTACCTGGGACATCCTGACCAAAAGAGGTCATGGAGGGCTCCTTGAGTTCGTAGCTCTAGGACATATCTCGATTAGAAAGCCTGTGCGCGCAGCCGGGCTTGCCCAACTCCCAGGACTCGTTTCAAAAGTGCCCAGCTTTGCCTCAGCAGACGCTTCAATCGCGTAGGCTTCAGAAAATGTCGTGCTCGATACCTCTCTCTCTGCAGCGCTCCATCTTGGCTCTCCGGGGATGTCACGGCCTTCTTGCCACAAAGCTGCCGAAGTAGATGTCAGGTGGAGGAGCCTGGGATCAGGCCTAGCGCAGTTCACGCCTAGAAAGTGGGGTGCTGCAAGCTCAAGTCTAAGTGCAGTTGGCATCTTACATTGCCGGGCCAACTCTCCTGGCTGCACCACTTGAAATCGCCAGAGATATTAGTCAATCCAGCTAGTTCGGGTTGGAAGCAGGAGCCGCCTGATTTTCGAAGCAGCCGCCGGGGAGCTCAAAGGTCTGGATTTGGTAGCACCGCGGCTTCCTGTGAAACAGTTCCAGTAAAAGCTGGACATCATCAGCACGAAGTAGCTTCGCTTTGTTTTGCCAAATGAAAGCATTGCCTCATATTGCCTCATTTGTGCTGAGGTGGCTGAACCGAATGGCTGATGATGACTCAGATGCAGTCTGTCCCCTAAAATGGATCAAGTTTGAGGAGCGGGAGCTTAGATACAAGCTGAGGTAGCTGATTTGCTGGATGAAGCCTTGGAATGTGCCAAGAAGGGTGAAGCGCTGCCAGCGGCAGCCCCAATGAAGCTTGCATTGTTGGCAGGGCTTCGAATCTGCCCTACGGATTGATCTCCAAGCTAGCCTCCGGGTGGATGTGCGCCATGTCACAGGAGCCAAAGAAAGTAGGCGAGAAGGCACGGACCAAAAGCATTAGCGACATGACAGGTCTGAACCTTCACCGGCCGGTTTTAAGAGTATGCCTATGCTTCTGGTGGTGTGTGGAATGCGAGTCTCCAGGAGAAGAGCAAAGACAAGAAGAAGGAGAAGGGGAAGGACAAAGAGAAGGAAAAAGTGTCTCGCTGGCAAGCTTTGCGCGAGGATATTGCCGAACCTGTTGGAAGGTTGACGCTCCAAGAAGTCAACATGCTTGGTTTTTGTTGTGCTACGGTGGATGGAGGAAATCTTGCACGACTTTTGGAGTGGACATGCTAGCTACACTCCACCTCCCCCTTTTCAATATCGTTCTTGAGACCATGTTTTGTGGTTTTGTTGCAATGACGTAAATCTTGCCTTGCCCCGCCATGTCAGTAATCAACGTTAAGCGGGGAGGGGTTGCGGAGTTGCTTCTTTAGGGCCTCCTGAAGTGACCCTATCTAGGCGGTGCAGGATTCCTCCCACCTGCCAAATCGCAGTACAGCAGCTGATTCATAAACCATGAGGCTGGGTCCTACTAAGCAGCTTTACCATTTCATGTGGCTGAAGGCTACACGTAGCAGAGTCAGGCTTGAGTTTAGCCGCGCCTAGCCGGTTACAAAAGTTGGATTGTATCAAAGGCTTATGTATTCATGGGGGGGTTGGAGGCGGGGCTGGGGCTGGCAGACGGAGGTCCGAATAGAAAGTTTCACAAAATTTCTGAATGAAGCATAGGATCATAGGATGGCTGGGGGATGCGAGAGTTGGATCTTGATACATGATGACGGATAAACCACCACCACCACCACCGTCGCCACCACCACCGCCTGCCGTTGCCGCCACCGCCCGTGCCGCCACCGCCCCTGCAGCCACCGCCCCTGCCGCCACCGCCCCTGCCGCCACCGCCTCTACCGCACCACCGCCGCCGCCACCACCACCGCCGCCGCCGCCGCCACCGCCGCAACCGCCACCACCGCCAACACCGCCAGCACCGTCAACACCGCCACCACCGACACTACCGCCGCCACCGCCACTACCGCCACTACCGCCACCAGCGCTACACCCGCCACCACCACCACCGCCACAGCTGCCACCACTATAATTTGCCATTTGTCGTTTACAGTATCTCATCGTCGCACACTCCGATGTGCTACATGCAGCGTGTAGCTTAAGCCCACTGCAAGCTCCCGTTTTCATCATCAGTTATGCCGAACAATCACCCACGCAAGACAGCGCCAGGGATGGCGCGAGCCAGAGCATCGAAACTCATACTAGAAGTTGTTGAACACGCCCTCTGGATGTGATAGTCTGCTTTATGATTCTGCTGAATGACATTCCCGTTCCACCTGAAAGCGAACCTGAGGAGAAGAAAGACAAGGAGCAAGCTGTTGCGCTGAGTTCTGTTGCTCCACCGTAAAAAAAGCTGGAGCTTTGTTCAGAGGAAGTCACAAGGATGGGGTGTTCTTTCAATGCCACGCGATCTTCAGGACAGAAGTCGCAGCAAATCTCGCGACCGAAGTAGGAGCGCGTTCCCAAGCTGGTGCTCAATCCCAGGAGACGCGAGGGGTTCCACAGACTTGTAGTTCAGCGGCTTTGGCGCTGTGGCAAGTGCCGAGGTCGCGATCGCGACCGAGGAAAAGCCAGCCGTGTCAGGCTCAGGTCATTGGGATCCGTCGTTGCCCTGTGTTTGCACTTTGCTCATCTCCTGCAATTCGGCGCGGGTAGAGGTGTTCAGACCCAGAGCAAATACCTGATAGTGCGGACAAAGGCAGTCGCGACCGAGATCGGAAGGCGGGATTTGCCTCTCGTGTGTTCGAGCCTAATGCAGGCTCTAGAATTTGGTTCTAGTGATTCCAGTGGATGTCGACGTTGCAGCTGGAGTACTGTCAGGACCGATCTCGGGATCGCAGAGATCGGTCTCGGGATAGAAAAGACAAGGACCGAAGCAAAAGCTGTCGGCCTACCGCCTCCGCTGGATCTGCCAGTAGTAATTGGGGACCAACTGATCATATGAGGGTTGGCGGCACGTTTCACGATTATGACGCACATCTGACGTCGAGCAGCTAACTTCAACTGTTCTGTTCAGGACCGCGGCCGGAGACGTAGCCGAAGTAGAAGCAGGAGCAGAAGGCAAAGCACATGCGAGACATGCCGCGAGCTGCCTGATGCAGAGTTTCGATTGCGACGCACCTGCCGCTGTTCCCACGAAGCCGCGGGCCAGGCGGCGTAGTCGAAGCCGAAGGCGGAGGTTGGTTCGGGGTGTGCAGGTGGTCTAGGGGTATGACGAGACATCAGGAGTCAAGTGGTGAGGACTTCAGTTTTTCCTGATCGGAGTTTGTCGCGCAACCTTCTCTCCTCTTGTTAGCTGAATGACTATTTTGCATGCCTATCACTATCACAGTCTTCCTGCGCATGAAGGAGTAGCAGCAGCCGTGGCAAGCGAAAAAGTCGCAGCCGGCGGGCTCGGACCCTGACTTCTGTCATAGGAGTATGTGCTGAATCACTTTAGGCGGCCAACTTTGGGTTCTTTTTTCAGTCAGATACGTGCCACGGCGAGACATGCCGCTAAGGGAAAAGATCGTGGCCGCGACAAGGAGCAACTTCAGTGAACACGTGCTTCTGCACGACTTTTGAAGGGTCACAGCTTAAGTGAGGACATGCAGACATCCTTTCGACATGCTACATTCGCCTGACATGCTTCATCACGTCAGTATGGTTGCCCCTAGGCTTGCAGAAGAGCGTCAGGCAACAGGGTCTACCTGGACAGACGTGCACGCAAGCAGCACTCCCGTTGAAGCTGGTTGATGATATGACTCCATGGGTCTTGGGCTAGCTTCAAACCTAGAAATCCTACTTAGAGTTCTGGAGTGCCACCTTTCCTGGCGTATTCCAGGACTCCAGCCGATCACGGAGCGCGAAGCCACAACGCTCTGCGATCTCCCCGGAGCCCGGGCACCTAATGCATTAGACAAGTGTGTTTGCCGTAATCATAGTGAAGAGTGCTTGACCTTTTCTGTAGGGACAGTTTGTTGTCTTGAACACCATGACATTTTCGCCTTGCAACATGCAAGGGTCATACACAACTCACAGGCATCAAATCAAATCAAGTCAACTGGGAGGCATATGTGTTGTGGAAAATTGTACTGGGCAATGTACTTGCGTCACAGACAGTCATGCAGAGCTCATCGAGCATTTTCGCAGAGGCCTCATGATGTAGTCGAGTTTATGTCGTGCCAGAATGACAGCCTGGGCAATGCATCTTTGTCTAGCTGACAGGTCGATGCCAAAGCCTCCGGAGCCTACCATGACAGCTCCTGCTCCGAAGGAACTCAGCAAGGGGTACGGCACGAGATGCACAAATAGGCGTGACGAGGTTTAGCAGCTGCCACGCTTTGTGAAGGAACGCGATGTGCGCTTTGCTGTTAGAAGTGGGCTCTTATCTTTGCTTGTTCCTGCTACAGTGAGTGGTGTGGCAGCTTGACCTTGGTAGTAAGTTAGGAGCCTCCGCCGATTCCGACGAACTTCCGTGTGGGTCTTGTACCCAGATGTGCTGCATTGGGCCCCTGGGGTGCTTGTCTCATCACCGTAGTGCCATACTCGAAAAGTTTGCTCGAGTTGCAAGGTGATTGGATATGTCCAAAATGCCATTTCCATAACTACCGGTCGAAGGAAAAGTGCCGGACACCAAAACGGTCCTTCATCTTGTTGTCGGCATCCACAAGTGGCGAAATGTCGCCAAGCGGGAGTCAGTCGAGGTCCGCAATGTTCTACTCCACAGCCTTTGGGTGCCTCAGCTTGTGGTAATTTTGTTCGGGAACAGGAGTACAGCCCGAGCAGCGTGGCTTCGGGCAGGTCACAGGTCATAGTCATGGCGCCGTGATGTTTAATGTCTTCTGAAGGCTTGTGCTACACCAGCTCCCATCACACGTGCAGCCGTAGCGCTTGCTAGGAGATGCATAGGTGGCTTTGCGACTCCCTTCAACATGCATTCCATATCTTACAGTGGCATACAGTGGCAACATGGTTATTAATGTGCCTGAATTCACATGCGATTTGCAGAACACCCGGCGCCTGGGTTGCGTCTGGGGGTCATAGTCGGCGCTTTTCTCAAATTCTCACACCAGCGAGGTGGTGCTTCCATTCCCATCCCTGCAGCAGCGGCTGCAGAGGCATGACCTGCCTGGGCGTATAAATCGTTACGGTAAAGTTGATGGCATACGTACCGTTTTTCCAATAATTTGGGTAGAGGCTGTGTGAAGCTAATGCGCAATCTTTCGGTGCTCGAGCAAATTATTTCTTCCGATGTGGGACGATGATCAGTAGGTGTTGGGGAAGCGCTGCTCACGTGGGTCATGATATCGCGGTTTTCTGATGGGCTCTTTGACCTCAGGATGATGACCCCAGCGCTAAAAGGAAGAGGTCCAAGCCTGTCCCCCAGGCCGGTGTTGGAAAGGCCGTCTGCTACAGTGTTGTTTCTGAGTGTTAGAGAATATCATCAACCAACTCCTCGTAACTCCCGCTGTTATCTTCATGGCAGTGTTTCTCTGAGGTGGGATGAGATGGGAGGCCCAGCTACGTCATTGCCAGAGTGGCTCAAGGTGCGCCACGCTTGGACTAGCCTTCAAGTAGACATGTCAGGGCAGGCGTTGTCAGGCATAAAGGCACGCTCTCAATGCGAGACCTGCAGCCTTCGATTCTCAGCTTTCCATCAGCTGAAGGACATGGGCAAGGGTGATCCGAAAAGCATCCGGCCGGTCCCGCCAGGCCACACTCTTGCAAGATCTTGCAGGGGAGCCGGGCATGACTTAGCAAGCTGTGCATACAATTGATAAGGCATCGACCCGTCACGGTTCAAGATCATCCGCATGGAGGGTGTCCAGATCCGCGCGCTGATTGGCAAGGGTGGTGAAACGATCAAGGACTTTTGGCAGCTTTGTTTGAGGAAGGCAGAGTGCAGAACAACTGTGGATCTACGTGCAATGCCTTTCAATATGCACCTTGCTTGTTTGCAGAGATATGCGGGACGTTGCTTTGAGGAGATCAGATTACGAAGCGGTGCTGATATCAAGATCGACCACTTGCCCTCGGACCACGCTGCAATGCATAGTCTGTTGCTTTGGCCATGCGGGATGCTGATTTGCTTTCTTGCAAATCGGCTCAGCCGGTGAACTTGATGTGCAGGATCCAGAGGGCAATGTGACCATTGTTGGCGATGTTGAGAAGCACTTGCCTGAGACGTTTGATCTTGATAGCTGGTAGCTTTGGGGTATGTTCTGACAGGACAGAAGGCATGATCAAGGACACCCTTGCTTCGAAGGGCTGTCCGCTGGGCGTGCCACATGCCAAGCTCGTCAGACGCTTGGTCCTGCGCTGTCGTTCCATTGCTTGAGCAAGACAACAGCAGATGTTTTTTGGGAATGCAGAGAAGAAGTATGTAGCCTCAGGATATTTTCGAGCGTTCGTCAAATGAAGGATAGTACTCAGGATGTTCTGTGCTTTGCTCCCCTAGAAACAGGTCTTTTTCTGGGAATCGCTTGGGTTCGGGTGTTCATGGCAATCAGAAAACAACACCAGCATATGGCCTTCTCTCAGAAACATATTCTTACCTCGGCATGAGATGTAATTAGCTGTTTGATGCTCCAAAGAGCTCTGGAAGCTGGCTTGTCCAGGCAGCGCCTCCTGCACCACCTGGCCTGGACTATGGGACGAATCCGCCTGGCCTTGGCATGGGCGGGCCGATGATGGGTGGCCCGATGCGGCTCGCCTCCACAACTATACATCCCGGAGTACGAGAAGATGCATCAAGCTGGCAAACATGATGAGACATGTTTCGTGTGCTAGGCAGACGCCTGGGTATGAGTGTGCCGAGAACGAGGTCGTTGTGCCTGCCGACTTAGCAGGCAGCTTAGACCTTTGGAGTTCCCTTGAGAAAGCCAGGGATGTGACATGCAGGGCACATCATTTTTTCGTGATTCTCAGGTCGCTGGGCTTATTGGTCCTTCTGGTTCCGGCGTCAAGGCTGATAGTTTGCTTGCTTAGTGCATTTCTTGCGGTGCTTCTCCCGGATCCCTAGGCCTGCAAGAATTTGTAGTGTTCCGCGTCCTCAGGCACTCCAGGAAAAGCTTGACATTTTGAAAAATCGGTTGAGTTCGGCTTCAACGTAATTCCGCGGGAGAAGCGGAAGCATTTGTTGGAAGATTTCGGAAGCAAAGCCTTGCTATCCAAGACCAGACGCAATAATCTTTGCGAGGAGATCAGAGAGAGGTCAGGAGGGCAAGTGTCCGCACCCCGGTGGCTTCAACAGATCAAACTCTCTCTCCGTACAGGGTTTCTCTAGATGGGCCATGTCCATCTTGAGAGACGCGCTTTACATGTATACATAAATCTATGTATGTAGGGTTCCTGATGGGTCTGCAAAAAAACTCGAGCGTGCCTAATTTAGATCAACTACCAAATGATCAGTGCCGCTTCATGCGAGAAGAAGTGACAGTGTTCTGGAAAATCGGGGGCAGCCTAAACCCTAAGCCGTAAACCCCTTAACCCCCAAACCCTAACCGCTAAACCCTAAACCACTAAACCCTTAAATTCCTAAACCCTAAAACCCCCAAAATGCTCTGTGGCCGGGCTTGGAGTTGCGCCGCAGTATTTGTGACCTGCGCCTCATGACGGATTCAGAAGAGATGCTCGTCTGAAGGGATAATAAAGAGTGTAACGCTGGGATTGGTACCATTTGTAATAGGAAGACAGGCCTTTCGTGAAGGCTCTTTGAGCGCTTGGCATGCAAAACTTCAATAAGCTAAGGATTGAGGAACGAGTGCTGGCACTCGTAGAGCTGCTGAAGAAGAAGGCTGTGGCTTAGGGTCTGCACACATGGAGACAGGGTTTAGGTAAAGACAATCGGCAGTCCTTGGAGGTATGTTTAGAGTGTGTTAGAGTGCCCTAGATCATTTGGCATGGCTTCGAGATGTTGCTGAATTAGGCTGCCACCAGCTGCCATACTTGCATTGAGGGGTTCTCTGTCTGCAGGATGATAAGAAGATAAAGGAGTGTGGCGAGGAGATTGCAGATGCCGCAAGCGACAATGAGCCGTACTTTGAGCCTGAACAGATTGTGCAGATGCAGCCTGTCATGAAGCCTGCATTCATGTTGCTTTGGGTAGGAATGAATGTGCAAAGGCAACGCGAGCTTGAAGTTCACGCAGCCTGCCTCCCTCTCCGTCTCTGTCTCTTTCAATTCCCTTTAACTTTAAAAATCCTAGGATGTCAACCTGGCTTGATGCGTGCATTGCAAAGCGAATCTTGGCTGCATTTGAGGAGAAGGTGCACGTCTTTGAGGGACAGCTGAACAGCTAGTTCGACCGAGGTGATGATGAAGTCCTTGATGTCACTGCCAAGGCGATTCGCTATGCTAAGGTGGAGGATGGGTCTGAGCACCCTGGAATGGTGGAGGTTCCTGTTCGGAATGGAAGCAGGCAACAAGTTTTGCCATGCCAACTCGTGAGCGCTTGCCTGAGAGGTGCTGAAGAAGCTCAACAAAGCATTATCTGCCCCCGGCAGTCAGCATTTGGAGATCATGTTCTTCGTTCGGGCCCAGCCCGTCAAGTGGACCGGAGATTTGCAGATGTACCCGCCGCTGACAGAGCTCCTGTTGCACGATAAGGCGGATGTCCTTCATGATGGTCTCGATCTAATTACTGGCATGGCCTTCGTGCAGCTACATGAGATGAGCGATGATGAGGCTTGTGAAGTTCTCAAGATGGCTCTGGAGCTTGCGAAGCATGTGAAACAGCTGGTAAAGAGCTACAAGCCAGGGGACATGAACCTCTCCCAACGGCTGGCCAAGAAGCTTTCGTATATGAATGCGCTCTTCCAAGCGGCCCACGTCTTCTGCGCCATGCTGGTGATGAACACAGGCTTTCCCAAAGCCTCAGCCGTCATTGCTGTTCCGTCTCTGATGCTGGAGTTGAAAGATCTTCTCGAAGAGGTGAAGCCCAAGCCCAAGGAGCAGGATCTAAAGGAGAAGCTGACACAAGCACGCAGTGCATGCCAAGAGCTCATCGCTAGCATGCCGAAGCCAGCAGCAGGCACCTCTTCGGATCCGGCTGGAGATGCCATGTCATATCTCAAGGGGCTTAAGTCTGCTGGAGACGCCAAAACATTGGACGGCACGCTGAAGATGATGATGAGCAGCACTGATGCAAAATTTGTGGATGTTGTGGTTGCCAAGGACAGCCTTCAATCTCTGATGGCTGCATTCAAGAAGATCAAGAAGACAGAGATGGACCAAATCTATTTAACTCTTCCAGCTTTTCTTACGTTTGTCGTGGAGAATCGCCCGGCGGCCCTGGAGGCCGTGGCAGAGGAAATGATTCCAATGTACATGGCTGGGCCCGTTGGCTTCGCCAACCCGAAGACCTTCGTCAACATCCTCACGGAAAAGTCCCCCAGCGTTGCCAAGAAAATCTGGACCAAGATTGATGTCTGGATCAAGACGGTGAAGGATGAAGGGACTGAGGGTTAGGAAAAGTTGCTGGCCACGTCGGGTTGTTTTCTGAAGGAAGGGTTTGAAGCTAGACCGCTGGATGCCACTGCTCTTGCTTCTGCTTGGCAAAGGACTCGAAGGGCGGGTCGATGTACGAAGCCAACCTCTACCAGGTTGCCAGTGCCCTCGAAAGCATGCCCAGGGTGTTGGAAGGAGCCGAGCTTGAGGCCTTTGCCGGCAAGATGAAGGACACTGCAATATGTTGTCCCCTTTGTAATCTTGTTGGTGTCAGCATCTGTATAGGTCTTAAGCATCACTATCACAAAGTCAGATTTGAGTGGAGTGATCGTTTCTCGCTGGGTCCTTGGACTGCGCCGGGTCAAGTCTTTGAGGGCTAGAGGAACAGGAGGAGAGCGGGGCAGAAAGGGAAAGAGGTCAGTGTAAGCATGCCCTAGCAGCTGATGCCTCACCAGGAATCAGGTCAGGCACATGCCTCTAATCCGGCTGTCCGTATACGGCCGTCCATATTCGGCCGTCAGTATCCAGCTGTTCGTATACGGCTGTCCGCATGGCTGCTTCAGATTCCCTCAGTTGGTGCCTGTTGCTGCGCTGCCCTGGCCAATTAGTCTGGTTCTGCTCCCGTCGTTTTCCGCATCCGCTAAGTGCGAGAGTGTTGCCTTCTACGGTGGCCTTGTAGTTCGAGTCGTGTGACAGCCTGGCGGTTCGCTTAGATCAGCTTGCAACTTTTCAATGGTTCTCTGTGTAGACAACCTCGACAACCTGGTCCTCCGTTCCAGGCACCACTTGGAGACGAGATACTAGACGTGAATCCTTTTTCTGAAGTGTCGCGCCACTCAACACTACTCCAGGGCTTTTTCAGAAGAATGTTGCCTAGAAGATCCTAGAAATACAGTTGTCACCATGGTCTCTTGTCCAAGAGGCATTTTCTAGCAGATGCAGGCAAGTCACTCTTCGCTTCTACCGCAGAAGTTTGCTGACAAATTAAGTAAAGCAATTCGTGGAGAGTTCGGATGTTGCACTGCCGATGGAAGGATTTGGCCGACCTCGGAAAGGGGACCTCCATGGACGGACCTCTGAAATGCTCGGCAATGATAGGCCTAAAGGCTTTGGTGATCAAGGACAGGCTCGGATTGTATCCAATTTGCACTGAGCTGCACCTGCAACACAATCAGGATAAGAAGCCTACTAACAATTTTGCAAGACTCGACTTAGATATGAGAAATGGGAGTGCGAAGTTGTTTCATCTGCTGACAGCTAGCCCAGGCTGCGCTAAATATGTTTGCCTGACGCTTCGAAACAGTAACGCGACCGGTGTGAAATTTAGCTGTGTGACTCACTGAGTGCTTCAGCAGCTGTGCAAGGACAAGACCCGCCTGCCAAGCGACGTGCTTCGGTGGGTACAGGCGACTTGACTAAAGACAGCTTGAAAAATGCACATGACCGCCTTGACCGCGTCAGGATGCAGGAGTTCTTGATGTGAGCAATGATCTCATTTTGAGAATTCCGCGTTTGCATTTGACATGCCCCGCGGTGAAGTGTGTTGAAATGGTTTTTGATTTGCAGCACTTCTACACATGTGGAAGCTTGTCACTTTGCAAGGACATGAAGGAAGGCGATGGCTCAGCGCGGGACATGGCGATCAGTACCTGGGCTTAGCTTGCGAGTATCCCGAGAGAAGTAGGCTTGCAGCGAGGCATCCCTGGCAGTTACTGCAAGAAGCAGATCTGTCAGCTGTAAGCGGGCCAGAGCGGAGGAAGGAAGAGATGAAGAATCAGCCCTGCTGCATCAAGGCCTGATCGACGCCTACGAGGGCCGGTCCCTGGAGGGCGCGTATGAACAGATAGCAGACATGAACTCCAGATTCAAGGAGGCAGTCCCGGAATTTACAAGGTGGTTGATTCATCATGCGCTGCGATTGGCTTCCTGCCATTCGCACTTGCCTTGCCCAATATGAGTTCTTTTAGGAATGATCCAATACTTGGAGAATTGAGTACGAAGCTGATTGACAGGCCTGCGGCGACATGGAAAGTTTGAAAAAGTATGTCGATGACAACGTGTCGGAACTGAAGGCCACAAGCCACAGCTGCGGTGCAGCAGCTCACATTGTCTGAACGTTACTCCTGCAACAAAGAATCACCTGGGTGTTTTTAGCCAGCACTTGCAAGGACTTCATCAGCACCGTTGCGAAGAAGCTACCCATGCCAGTGAGGTTCTCCTCTGAGCCAAGGCGCCTTCAGCTTTGCAGTAGAATGCTGCCTCAGGTGGTCCCCGCATGGTGCACGGATTGGTTGTTTTGTGGATTAGGGTATAGTCCTTCTGATTCTGCATGTTCAGTTGTCTTTTATCATTTTTTGCGGTCGCTGTTCATGGATGAAAGAAAGCAAGAAGGAAATAAGCAACGAACGTGGACAGAAAGAAATGAAATGAAGATAGAAGGAAGCAAGGAAGGAAACAAAAGAATAAATGCACAAATAAAAGAGCAAGAACCACAGCAAGAAACGAAGAAAGAAGAGACGCCCCAAAACGCCGAAAGCAGCAAGAAGTATCTAAACCCGAAACCCCTAAACGCCTAAAGTTCTTGTTTCCGAAAGTGCGAGAGGGTTGGGAAGGGTCCCTTTTGAACATGAACATTGACGTGTCGTGGGAATGCAGCTTGGCCTCGAATCCCTGCACCTAGCTGCATTCCAAAGTTCATTCCCTCCCCTCTCCTTGATTGCTACCACGGTATAAGGGGAAGTCTTGCCCTGTCTAAGGGGGGTGGAGACACTCGTGATGTGTTCCGACATCCAGAGCTTTGCGATGACTGTCTGAGAATCTAGACTCCATTGGAGTACCCATGCCTCCATTGATTTTCCTGTCCCAATGTCTTGAACATTGTTCATTCATACGCTACCTCTTCACTATACGGCTTTACATGTTCGCGTTCACATCCCAACCCTTACACCAAAACTTCTAAACCCCTAAACCCTAAACTCCTAGACAAACCCCGGCCCCCCCCACCCCCTACACCCTGAGCTCTTAAACTTTCTTGCTACCCATTCACATCTTATCTTATGCAGAGCTTTTTTTGTTGTGGTTTCGGGTGTTTGGGATTTTCCGTTTAGGTTTCAGGATTTTAGGATCGAAGGTTTAACCTTTCCCTGGGAGGCTTACCAGTACACCTCCGAACCTCCCGACCCTAAACCATAAACCCTAAACCTGTAAACCCTACACCTTAAATCCTTAACTCGTAAACCCTAAACCCAAGCCCTAACCCGTAAACCCTAAACCCCATAACGCCTGAACCCCAAACCCCTAAACCCCTGAACCCCTAAACCCCTAAACCCTAAACCCTGAACCTTTAAACCCTAAGCCCCTAACCTGTAAACCCTAAACCCCTAACCCGTAAACCCTCGACTGATGACCCTTAAGCCCCAGACCCCTAAACCCCTAAACACGTAAACCCTAAACCCCTAACCCTTAAACCCTAAACCTGAACCCGTCTGAGATCGAGGGATGTGAATGCAATTGTGAACACTTCATGGGCTGCATGCTGGCCCTGCTTCGGATAGCATTCCTGCAAATGAAACAGGTCCCTAAAATCAAAATCTGACCCGTAAACCTTAAACCCTAATTCCTAGCCCGTAAACCCTAAACCCCAAAACCGTAAACCCCAAACCCCTAACCCGTAAACCCTAAATCCTAAACCCTAAAACCCCTGAACCAATAAACCCCTAACCTATAAACCCCTAGACCCTAAACCCTAAACCCCAAAACCGTAAGGCCTAGATCCCTAACCCGTAAACCCTAAACCCTAAATCCCTAACCCGTAAACCCTAAACCCTAAATCCCTAACCCGTAAACCCTACACCCCTAACCCATAAACCCTAAACCCCTAACCCGTAAACCCTAAACCCCATAACCCCTGAACCCCTAAACCCCTAAACCCTAAACCCTGAACCCCACCCAGATTTTGTCAACAGCAGGGTTTTTGACCGTTGAGCTCGAGGGGAAATCCCATCAATGCCAGGATTTTCTGGGTCTCGCCGTAAAGTTTTCTTTGCTGCCTGGACACCGGAAGGCCCGATAAAAACCTAAACCCTAAACACCTAAACCCGTAAACCCTAAACTCCGAACCTGTAAACCCTAAACCCCTAACGCGTAAGCCCTAAACTCTAAACCCCTAAACCGCAAACCCCAAACTAAACCCTTAAACCAGTAAACCCTACCCCCTAACCCGTAAACCCTAAACCCTAAGTGCAAGGGCCCTCCGCTGTGGCCTTGACCTCTCAGGCCTAGCGAATGCCTCCCAAAGGCCCAGATGCGTTTCAGGGGCCTCCTAGCTCTTGAAACTGTAAACTCTAAACCCTTAAGCCACGACCCTCTTCATCATATTGTTTTTTGTTCAGCTCTAAAGGATAGAATCCAAGTCACTGGAAGAAGGCGGGGTGGCAAGATACCGTACTGGTTGGAGATCACAACGCGTAGACACTTCCCGCAAGAATGGCATGCTAACCCTGGTGGAGGAATCCTAGGCCCAAACACGGAGATATTCAGAAATTGGTCGATCCTTGAGAAGACTCCGAGTAGAGCCAATGCGCGCAGAAGAGCGCGCCCGGCACTAGCAAACACCCTTAAGCCGTTAGCCCTGGACCCCTACACCTCAGAAACCCAATCCCGGAAACCTCAAACCCTTGAATCCAAAAAGACCCTAAAACCTTGAAAACTGCTAGACCCCAGACCTCAACCCCTAACCTCCTAAACCCTTAAACTTTCGACCCTGCTTGCCTGAAACATGAACATCTACACCCTAAATCCTCAAACCTTAACTTTCTTAACCCAAATTTCCGCTATGTCCGAGCCTCCCTAAACCTTAACCCCTGAACACTGAACCTGAAAGTCCGTAAACCGTAAACCCCAACCTCCCAACAAGAAATGCACCTAAACCCTAAACCCTTCATCCCGAGTCCCGTAGTTAAATCTTGAAGCTCTAAACCTTAAATCCTAAACCGCTAAGCCATAAGCCCGTACAACCCAAGCTTCCGCACCACCCAACCCCTAAACCTTTCAACTCCGAGCCCACTAGCCCCTAAATCCTCAAACTTCTAAACCCGAAGCCTTATCTTATCTTCACTACCATGTGAAAGTCCAACAGGAGCCCTCTCAAGGTCTCAAAGGTCTTGAGAGGGCCTTCTCAGGACAAGGCGAGCAGGCCCGATACCAGGCCAAGGTCCAACAAAGACTTCGAGGCTGTTAGCGGCTCCCCTCCGGGCAAGTTAGTCCCAATTTGCAGGGGCTCTCTCACGGCAGTGCAAGCACGCCCAAACATCAGCGCAACAAATCGACATCCTGCACAACTACACAAAGCAGCTTTCATGCACCAAGGCGCCAGATACAGAAAACAAAAGCAACAACGAGACTCAAAGCTGGCATCTGGCTCGCTGGTTTGCTCTAGGATTTTGCTATTCTTCCTCGTGGGGTTTTGTGGAGGGTCCTTTAGTACAAAAGCCTGATCATGCATGCAAATACCCCATGGACTGTGGTTGTCTTGGCCAACTTTCGAGAGATTAGTTCCGACTTTGGACCTTGGAGCCGCCTTGGCAACCCTTCCCTGAAGGTACGTTGTGAAGAAAGCGATTCTTCTACATTTCGAGTGCCAGGCTCCAACAGCAACACGCTTTTGCGTGTTGGCGAACAAGGCCACCTTCACCACCGAGACGATGGAGTGGTCCCGCTGGCTGAAGATGGGCCTGTCGGCCGCAAAGCTTGGCAAATCTATTCTGAGTGCCGACGCTCGGGCTCCCCATGTGTGAACGTGTGAATGAGATCTAGGTATGCTCTGCACACATTTGAGCCAAACTATCCATGACATGAGTTGTGCTCAGGATGCCATTGCGGATGCACCTGGTGTTGTTGAACAAGTGAAGGGACTTTACAAAATGTACAACAAAGATGACGGCGAGGACTTCCTGACATTCATCTCAGAGCCTTTTTTGACATCACAGGAGCAGGATAAGCTCCTGAACCAGCTACGAGCTGCCAACTATTTTGAGAACTTCCGGTACGACAGCCAAACAGCCACGTGGCTCTGTGCAAATTGCCATGCCATCTATACCAAGGCTGGGTCAAACAGAACCCCAAAAGCTCTGGAAGAGGCAGCAAACCACCCAGACCTTGAGATCCCGTTCCCCGAGATGCGCTTCGAGCGCGGTGGGGGTGGTCTCGAGGGGCTGCAGGATCGTGCACAGAACATGAAGGAGGCGGCGCTGGAGGTCAAGAAGACCACCACTGCCTGCTGCACCCTTTTTGGCATGAGTCTGTGTGAGACGGAAACTGGCGACGAGATCCGTACCTAGTTACCCATCTTGACAGACTGTTCCCTTTGATGTTTGAGAGTGCTTGCGCTGAAGACTGTGCTGACCACCCTGCGGGTAGCACCTGCTCTCCCCAAGATCGGAGCTGCCGTTGCCACGCATGGTGCTAGATTTGAGCTGTTTTGGTGCCGAGTCCGTGGCATTCAGCTCACCTGCTAGGAATCCGCAGATTCAGTAGACTGCCTCATGCCACCCGTGCTGAGGAAGTCGGACCTGTCTTCTTGGATTCAAGAGTGACTTTCTCAAGGAAAGGCACTGTTTGAAAACAACACGCGCTGCTACATCTTAGATCACTTGCTAGGGCAGCTTCAGCGGAAACAGGCTATGGACGATGTCATTGCCATACGTAAGGTTCATCTCCATCCTACCTCCGTCGCACGCTGGAGCAGATCAACTGGTCAGGGTGTCTGGCCTCAGATCGGCTGCGGCCATAGGAAGCTTTGATGCGGTTGCCCGGAGGTGTGAAGGGCAATAGGGAATGGAACATATTGCATGTGATGTGTGCTTAACACCCTGCAGGTCGTTGGCGATAACCACTTGCTGGCCAAGCAGCTTATCCTCGTCCTGCTGGCTCGCTTAGGGCACAGCGCAGTCAGCATTTAAGTTGCAAAGTCTTGGTAACTCCCGTCTTCCATCTTGCTGGGCCCCAAACTGAAGTGTCCCAAAGATCTTTCAATCCGAATCTGGCTGGGTTGCAGGAGAAGATCGAGGAGCTGAAGCTTCAATATAGAGGACCAGGCAGGGAGCTCCGCAGATTGATGTGTGGGTCTTGACCCTTGGAGGAACGACTAGAATTCGGTTTGCATTGTTCGAAGAACTCGACTACAGTGGACTTGTCTGATGGGTACATCCCCAACCAGGTATGACATTAGTTGACATTAGATCTGCAATGCAAAATTTAGCTAAGCTGCATAAGATTTAGTACAAACAACGGGAGGCTTCGGGGTGTTTCTTACAAGGGGATGGGCGACTTTAAGGATCTGTTGGATAACCTCGAGGAATGAAGGATTGCTTCCCATATCATGGTCTCCATAAAACCCCGACCTTCAAAGCACAAACCAGACAAATTCCTGCTTCGCGTCCGGTCCTCGTCGTTTGGAATCTATGAAATTGTGGTGGAAATTGGAAGCACGTTTCAGACGGGCGTAAGCTTGTTTGTGCCTGGAGTGGGTCCAGGTGGTAGCGCTGCACTGCAACCAATAAACCCTAAGTAGTAGTTTCCATTTTCTTTCCCATTATCCCTATACCCCCCACATACTTTAGTAGTTTCCATTTTCCATTATTCCTATACCTATGCTCACAGCTGGAGGCGGCTGCTCGCCAATGCCAGGCCAGCTTCTCAGCATGCTGCACGGTCAGGGAAGTTTACCAGTAGAACTTAAGCAATTCATGGCTTGGATCCTTGCTATTTGCAGGTTCAATGTTGCTTGATGTGAGCTAGTAGGGATTAGGGACGGCCCCAGAAAGACAGAAATCAGAGTTAAGCACCTCGGCAAAAAAGTGTTACCTGAGCCAGTTCTATTTAGTCTGGCAGTCCTGGTGTGTGCAAGTGATGGGCTCTGCCGAAACTTGTCGAGGCTACGCCGGCATGGGCTGTGGCCTCAGAGCTTTTCACCGGCATCGTCTTTTCAGGCTCTAGGTCGTTTACATCTGTATAACGAGTAAGCTGGATAACTCAACGATTAGAACAGTAAAGAATATTCTGAGAACCGCTCCTGAGCTCAGGCATGCAGTCGTCGATGCTTGGGAGCTCCTACCCTTCACGGCCTAAGGTGCCACAGAAGTCCATCGAGAAACCTGTAATTAAGTCCGAGATGTCAGTAGCAATCCATGCGAGCTGGATGTGGGAGACATCCGCTCACAACAAGTGTGTCTTCATGTTCTTCAACCTGCGAAGGCCCCTGGGGTTGGTATCCTGGGCGCTGCACATGCCCCGCCTATGCCCATGTCGTGCGGAGCTCTGGGCTTGCTCTTGCTCTTGCCTCTGTTCTAGATGTGCCCTTGCAGATGGACGACACATGTGAGGCCCTTTCTCCAAAACCAAGCTCAGCGTATCCCGCCACCGGCGTTGCCACCTCCTCCGGGTCCAATGAGAGGGATGGGGCCGCCAGGGCCCTGGCCGCTGGAGCCTTTCAACTCGCGCGACGCAGTTTGCCATGCAAGCCTTCGCCACTACTTTGAATTTTTGTAGGGGTCTTGCCCGCTTGCAAGGCCTCCTGCCTTACCACCTCCAATTGGGCCGTGCGGAGGATGCGGAGGCACCATCCCGGCGTGGTGTGGTAAAGCGGCAGAAGGCCACAAGCACCAAAGCTGAGGTTGCACTGGACCCTGTGCACCCCCTGCGCCGCGTCCTCCACCTGGTGGGGGCTTCCCGCGGTTGGGAGGCTGCGGTCTGAATTCAGTCTGCTTCTGTACTGTCGGATTTGAAAGCCTGCCTGGGAGAATTTCGTTGCCTTTGCGCCTAAGGCAAAAGTAGCTAAGACTGCAAACATGTGATTCCAGAGCATTGCAAATAGTAGATGGTCTGTGGTATGACACCATTCCGAGCAGCTGGAACAGGAGTGCCTCAAGTCACCAGATTAAGACCAGTTTAACAGTCCGGCGGGGCATGCTCCATAAGGTCCACCGGCACATGGTGGTTTTCCAGGAGGCCAGGGGCTGGGACTTGTGGGTTCAGTAGTCATTTGAGTTTGAGAAAGCGGGAAAGTGGCAGCTGTGCTAAGTACGGCTGCAACAGTGTCACGGGTCATGTACTGCCGGGAGGTCCTCCTGGCGAGCTGGCCACTCAGTGTGAGCAGCTGCTGGTATCTAGGAGAAGGATCAGGCCAAATTTTCGTGCTAAGCCATGCAGGCTTTGAACTTCCAGGGCTCTTGTGACTTTTTAGCGAAGGCAACAGACAGATTCCGTTGCAGATGCCTGCAAGGATGATGAGACCTGGGCCCGGCCCTGTGCTTGGCGGCTGTGGTGCTCCTGGCATGGACGGTTTGGACGACCAATGGTAGTAAAGGCTGTCGGTGAGCCACAGAGACTGCTGGGTGCGAAAAGCCAGGTCTTCCGCCCATGAGTAGCCATGCAGCACCTGGACAAGGTGCAAATAGTTTGAGCCTTCATTTTGTGACAGAGGGAGGAGGCGGAAGTTTTGGGAGTTGCTGTCTGCAGCCTTTCTCGTCAGCATCAAAATCCTGAGTATCAGTCAATCGACAGGTCTGGGCGGCAGCGATCTAGGCGGGGGCTTCTCATTACTGCCTCGGCTATGCACGCCAACGAGCCAGCCACGCTTGCTTCACACGGAATAGGAAACTCGGGTAAAGAGGCTTTTTGAAGCATGTCCCCGTGCATGCAGGGCCTTCGGCGCACCCGCCGAGCTTCGCGCCTCCCTCTGCTTCGCCACAGCTGCGGACCAAGGGCCTTGGATTGTCATGTCCGTTGGCAGTGCATAAAGGACTTGTGAAAATCTCGTGTTGATGTAAGCTTCGTTTGAGGGTTGCGTGGCGAGGCCTACTCTCCCACCGGCGCCAGCGCCACCTGCCAAAGCCAGCCTCCAGCTTAGAGCCGCGGAAAGTCCAGACTGCGCGCAGCGGTGGTAGCAGATGCATCTATCTACGCTATCGTTGGCTAGTGCAGTGTACGCGAAGATAGAAGAATGACTTGCCAGATGGACGGATGTTCTCAAGTACGTGCTGAGGCACGGACTCTACGAGAGACTTCAATGCCATGCTACGGGAGGCCGCCTGCATCCGCATCAGCCACCGCAGTGGGAGCTTCATCCCAGTGCCGCAGGTAACCAGGAAGTTAAGTGCTGGATCTAACCTGACCTATCCAGGCAGCCAAAGCCGCGGAAGCCACTATAGGGTCCCTTGCTTAAATTCTCATGGTTCAAACATGTGGGCGCTGCTGGCACCTACAGTCCAAGGATGTCGCAGCCCCCCAAGCCAAGCACTCCCCAAGCGGGCGTGCCGCTGCTCTGAGGCCAGAGCGGTGTAGGCTTTATGGTCAAGTAATGGCCAGCATCATATACACAGACCCTTAACCCGACCTGTGCGCTCAAACAAGCCATGCCTAGCTGTTGGACTGTGCCCCGAGTTCATGTGAGATGTTCGTGCAAAGTTTATTATGGCGTCCTCAAGTCAGTTTTGCAGTATCGAGCGAGCAAATCGGCTTGAGCACTCAAGCGGTGAGCGCATTGAAAAGGGCCTTCGCACACAATGCAATGCTAGCAAGTCCAATTGCACTTTCAATTCCCTCTTCTCAACAAGCTCACAACTCGTGTAACATGCAGCATTGCATTACGAAAGCCTGGCCCGTGCATCCTGCATTCATGCATACCTGCTGCCAACCAATTCCTTACTTCTCTTGGCATTTCGGCTCACCGGTGAAGCAGCGCAATTTCCTGGCTGCCTGCAGCAGCACTTTCGTCCTGTCATCAAAATGCCCCTTGGCATGGCAAATGTGACCGGCAGGGTATCATCCTTTGTTTTGCTCAGAATAACCTGAGCCCAGGTCCGCCATCATGCTCGGCACTCAGACCAACCTTGACCAAACTGTATCCCAAGACAAGCTAAGCTGGCAATACTTGCTCGGGTCATTGCGGCCGCCACCTGCGTGTATTTCAGGTCTGCCGCACAAGATTTGTCCAGCCTTCCAACTTGTGCCGATGTCTTGCACCAAGCTCGCAGATGTCTGCGCATGGCACGGTGTTGAGAATGTGCTATCAATCAGGACGAGGTAAGCATTCAGATGCTCAAGCGTTCGGGATACCAAAACATCATAAGGCATATGATATCTCAACATTGTTCCTACGTTTACGCATTCCTCAGGGAACCTCTGTCCAACGTCGATGTGAGACCTAGCGACGGTAGCTCTTGAGATGACTGGGCTCTTGGCATCCGATCACCTTTGCAGGTCCGCCACCATTGGGAGATTAAGGTGCCTCGAAGTGTGCAGCTGTCGCGCTTGAAGCTTATACTAGGAATCAGTATTTCTGGCAAAGGGGCATTGAGCTTCATTGGAGGGGCTGAAAGACAATCCCTCCGCTGGACATAGCCTCACAGAGAAAGGTCTTCAACATTTGGCCCTAACTGCACTGCACCGCATGGTAGGCGCTGTTATGGCAGGTAGTGGTACCGGACCCTGTAGAGCGGCTCTCAGCAATGAACAGGTCTCGTGCTTTCAGCTTGCACTGCCTTGAGTCTTGAGTCCAGCCTTTTTGCTTCCCGCAAGCTTTCCGTGCCAAGGTAGTAGTAGTATGATGTTTGGCGGAGCATCATATGTTGAAGCTCGAGCTCAGCGATGTCTGCAGATCTCGCAGGCATGCAATGCCATCGCCAAGCCGTTAGATTGACACATGACCCAAACATTTGTTGATGTCTGCAGAGGAACTGAAGGATCCAGACGTGAAGCAATGAGCCAAGCTCAGCAGGCACCCCTGCCTTCGCGCTTTTTGCGCCCAGCAAGACACAGCGCATTGTTATTTTGCCAGGCAGGTGCGCTGCTACCAAGCGCAAGTGCCTGGCTCGGTGATTCATGAATACAAGCGCTGCGATTTCTCGCGACAACAGACACGCAACATGAAGTAGAAAAAGTAGCTTGGGTCAGGAAGGAACATGCTGGACAGGGCCATGAGAAGAGATGCCAGCACAGCATACTTGAGAAGTGTTGCAAAATGACATCGAAGACTGGAAGGTCGCGGGGTCAAGAGGCACGGGTTCCAATGCGGTCAGCAGGGGCCTTGTGATGCTGCACAATCTGAAGTTGGGTTTCTGGATGGCAAGTGGAAGCAGACGGCCTTTGCATGCAAAAAGCACGTTGTGGGCAGTTGTAGCCACGTTAAGCTTCACACCCAATCAGCGCTGGACCGCTCAAGGTGCCGATTCATTGGCGACTCACAGCAAAGCCTGTCCATGCACATTACCCAGGTCAGGACCGAGCTGCGAGTTTGTACAACTATACTGCTAGTACTGCTAAAGAGTTGTTGAAACAGCACATTTTTTGCTGAGGGACAAAAGGTTTTGCTGGATGTTTTTCCTGAGAACTCTTGATTCCTAGTTCGCTGGGTTGACCAGGTGCACAGGCCGCGCAATAGCCAGATACGAACCAGGCCCGGAAGCCAAGAAAGTTGGAGCATTCCCTCTTTTCAGGTCTCTAGTGGCCCAATTTCAAATTTCAGACTCCGCCGGAAAAGGGGTGGTTTCAGAAATGGGTTACCAGAGGATGTTCGCCGAATTTGGTTCTGGTCTATTGGCAGACAGGTCGTGGCACTGTTCTTGAACCAGAAAATGGGACTTCACTAATCTTGTGCATAGTCACAGCTCAAACTAACATCTGCAGCTAGCACAGAGAGGGCAAACCCGATTCCCTTTCTGCGGATAGGTTGTTTTCAAAATGTCTGAAGCCCACATAGCGACAACTTGTGGACATGCAAGGCCTGGCGGTGCAAGAAAGACACCTTCACCTTTCACTTTGCACCCAGCAGCCCCGATGCTAACTCAAGCCTTGCAATCTTGGAACGTCGCTCCTTCGTTACAGGTCTCGCTGCGTGGAGGCGGAACTCTACCGGCGCCTTCGACTGGCATCGCCGGAAGAGCGCAAGGAACCTTGCAGTGTTATTCTGGTTGGCTTGGAGATATTTTGATCAGCTTTGGGATCTCCAGTGAAAAATTGGAAAATGACGGGATGGCGGCAGCCGCAATGCAGCAGTATTATGGGGGGCATGTCCAGGTGGCTTGGCTCCGTGTGGCTGAAGCGCTCCTACTTGCTGTGATGTGGTTTGAAGTGCTACTAGTGTAAGAGTGATGCATGAAGCATGGGCCGAAAGACACCTTCCGTCAAGTCCGCAAGGCAAGGGCAGCACCCACAATGAGTGGTCAGATTTCTCAGCAGTGGCCTTGAAAGATGACTGTCTCATTTTCTCGCCATCGTTCTGAACAGGATTTGCTACTTCGGCACTTCACCCAGGCGTGGTTGCTATGCTTTGCCAGCTTGCTGCCCTCGAAAACATGAGTAAGTGCTACTGTACCTGAGACATTCAAGCTGTAGCTTTGGGTCCTTGAAGTCGACGAGATTTTGCTTGCTTCGCCAACGCCTAGAAGTTGCTGACAGTCAGCTACAGTCCAGAGCATTCGCATTATGCAGTGAAGATTAGTAAAGTCTACTGGCTGTACGCTTGGCCAGTTCATCAGCGCGAAGTCCAACGAACGCATTGTCTGTGCTGATGCTAGTGGCTGAAACGATCTCCATGACCTGGCACGGCAGGCCCAGCGCGTGGCATTGGAGAGATGGATTCTGGCAAACAGCAAGGCAAGCCTTGATTGGAAGACACCAGGGAGGAAGGCTGCAATTCAAGTCAGAGTTGCCCGCAGGGTCGCAATGACAAACCGCGCATGCATGGAAGCCACTCGGCCGAAAATCTTGCATTTCTTGCAAGTTGTGCTGTGCTCAAGATGCACGGACGTTTCATAAGACCTATGGAGGACGCTTTCTGAAGCCCTGGGCAAAGACGCAAAAGCTTCCAAAGCCGCGAGGTGTAGCTTCAGGCCGATGAGCCATGTGTTCTGCACTCTGGTTTGTGACCCCGAGCTAGCAGGAGGCACTAGAAGTCTTGTACTCGCATCGCAAGTTCGCAAGCTGCTTATGACAGGAATTACGAAGCGTCGCGGACGGACAGCTTCTGGCAATGCTCTCTTCCTCTATGTGGCTCATGCTTCTGCTGGCCCTTTTCGGCTTTTCACAAAGGCCGTGCATGACCTTGGAGTTGCCGTCCGCTACAGACAGCTTCTTCTGGCAATCAAGCAGGAGGTCTGTGCAAAGACGCTTGGCAAAGTGTCAGCTGAGCAGATGACACAGGTCTTTGCAGCAGCCGTCCGTGCAATATCCTGTAGCGGCGCTGGGGAGCTACTGCAAGAAATGCGTCTAAGTTTTGCCGCAGCAGTGCCGGCAAAGCACTGGATCGGTAGAGAGCTTCGGACTCCACGTTTCTCCATGCAGCGAATGTCAGCTGGTCTGGAGGCCTTCGAGTCGTTGTTACGAGCTCGCGATCAAGTGTATCGTGGCAGAAGCAACCGGTACTCTATCCACATGTACAGCAGCCCTCTGGAAATGGAGGCTGCTTGGGTGCAACTCCGTCAAGAGTACATTCGTGTTTGGTCAGAAGCTGGCTGGGACAAGAAGGACAAGCTTCGGACGAAATGCTTAGTTTGCGCGAAGTCTCAAGAATCAGTGACGTCATGTTGAGCAATTAATGTAGTGCCAGGCAAGCAACCTTTGAGTCTCCTTTCCAATTCCAGCAGAAGACCTTGGCAATCCTACATGTCCAAAAGCTTATGCAATTCCTGTCCAGAATGGAGCCATTTAGAGCTAAATGGTCATCTATGATGGATATGGTGGATCTTATTTGATAGGGGGCTATCCTAGACTGGATGGGTCCCTACCAGGTGGATGGCCCCTCTGCATTGCCCCCTACCAAAGGTAAGGATAGACCCGTACCATAGGCTCGTATACTGGCTTGTAGACCTCTATTCTACCCACAAACCCTTAGGGTCTTTCACCCCCTCTATGGCCTGTGTCTATCCGGACACGCCCCTGGCCCAAAGACACACATTGCGGCAGGTGCCATGACCTCAAGCCCTAATCAGCCCCAAAATCCTAAATCGAAAGCAACAAAAACTCAAGCCTTAAAGAGCCCTTAACCCTATAAACATCTATAAGCCCTAACGCCAAATTCTGAACCCTAAACACTAAACAATCCCAACTGCTAACCTTGAACAACTCTAAACCATTAGCCGTAAGTGCTAAACCCTAGACCTTACACAACCAACCCTGTACCTAGTAGACAACACCAAACTCCTAACTGAACAGCTTGAGCCACAAACTGAACACAAACCAAGCTGCCAGCCCACGGCCACAAAGCAAACCAAACCCTAAACACTGAACATCCCAGAACGTAAACCGCAAAGAGCCCCAAACCACGTAA